CTGCAGAGAGTTTTCCAGGCTGTCTGGCCTTTTCCCAGAAGCATTCTCTCCTGACGTTTCGCCCACATCTATTATTATTATTATTATTATTATTATTATTGTGTTCTTGAAGGCTTTCATGGTTGGATTTACTCAGCTGCAGAGAGTTTTCCCAGAAGCATTCTCTCCTGACGTTTCGCCCACATCTATTATTATTATTATTATTATTATTATTATTATTGTGTTCTTGAAGGCTTTCACGGCCGGAATTACTTAGCTGCAGAGAGTTTTCCAGGCTGTCTGGCCTTTTCCCAGAAGCATTCTCTCCTGACGTTTCGCCCACATCTATTATTATTATTATTATTATTATTATTATTATTATTATTGTGTTCTTGAAGGCTTTCACGGCCGGAATTACTTAGCTGCAGAGAGTTTTCCAGGCTGTCTGGCCTTTTCCCAGAAGCATTCTCTCCTGACGTTTCGCCCACATCTATTATTATTATTATTATTATTATTATTATTATTATTATTATTATTATTATTATTGTGTTCTTGAAGGCTTTCACGGCCGGAATTACTTAGCTGCAGAGAGTTTTCCAGGCTGTCTGGCCTTTTCCCAGAAGCATTCTCTCCTGACGTTTCGCCCACATCTATTATTATTATTATTATTATTATTATTATTATTATTATTATTGTGTTCTTGAAGGCTTTCACGGCCGGAATTACTCAGCTGCAGAGAGTTTTCCAGGCTGTCTGGCCTTTTCCCAGAAGCATTCTCTCCTGACGTTTCGCCCACATCTATTATTATTATTATTATTATTATTATTATTATTATTGTGTTCTTGAAGGCTTTCACGGCCGGAATTACTTAGCTGCAGAGAGTTTTCCAGGCTGTCTGGCTTTTTCCCAGAAGCATTCTCTCCTGACGTTTCGCCCACATCTATTATTATTATTATTATTATTATTATTATTGTGTTCTTGAAGGCTTTCACGGCCAGAATTACTTAGCTCCAGAGAGTTTTCCAGGCTGTCTGGCCTTTTCCCAGAAGCATTATCTCCTGACATTTCACCCACATCTATTGTTGTTGTTGTTGTTGTTGTTGTATTCTTGAAGGCTTTCACGGCTGGAATTACTCAGCTCCAGAGAGATTTCCAGGCTGTCTGTCCTTTTTTCCAGAAGCATTCTCTCCTGACATTTCACCCACATCTATGGCAGGCATCCTCAGAGGTTGTGAGGTCTGTTGGAAACTAGGCAAGTGGGGTTTATATCTGTGGGATGATATCCAGGGTGGGAGAAAGAACTCTTGTCTGTATTGTCGAAGGCTTTCATGGCCAGAATCACTGGGTTGCTGTAAGTTTTCTCGACTTTATGGCCATGTTCCAGAAGCATTCTCTCCTGATGTTTCACCCACATCTATGGCAGCATCCTCAGAGGCATCCAGAAGAACGTTCAGAAACTTCAACTGCTTCCAAGGTCAGCTGCTAGACTGCAAACAGGAGCAGGATGTAGAGAAAGAACTACTTTGCTCCTGAAGCAGCTACCCTGCCCAAGTTTGAATACTGGTGGGGGATTGATTTTTTGTCATTTGGGTGTTGTACTTGGTGGGATTTATAGTTCACCTACAATCAAAGAGCATTCAGAACTCCACCAACCATGGAATTGAACCAAACTTGGCACACAGAACTCCCATGACCAACAGAAAACACTGGAAGGGATTAGTGAGCATTGACCTTGAGTTTTAGAGATGTAGTTCACCTACATCCAGAAAGCACTGTGGACTCAAACAATGATGGATCTGGACCAAACTTGGCACAAATACTCAATGTGCCCCAATGTGAACACTAGTGGAGTTTGGGGAAAATAGACCTTGACATTTGGGAGTTGTAGTTGCTGGGATTTATAGTTCACCTACAATCAGAGAGCATTCTGAACTCCACCAACGATAGAATTGAACTAAACTTGGCATACAGGACTCCAAAGACGAACAGAAAAGACTGGAAGGGTTTGGTGGGCATTGACCTTGGGTTTTGGAGTTGTAGTTCACCTATATCCAGAGAGCACCGTGGACTCAAACAATGATGGATCTGGACCAAACTTGGCATGAATACTCAAAATGCTCAAATGTGAACACTGGTGGAGTTTTGGGGGAAACAGGAACTACAACATTTGGTGAGTTGTAGTTCCTGGGATTTATAGTTCACCTACAATCAAAGAGCATTCTGAACCCCACCAAGGATAGAATTGATCCAAACTTGGCACACAGAACTCCGATGAACAACTGAAAATACTGGGAGGGTTTGTTGGGCATCGATCTTGAGTTTTGGAGCTGTAGTTCACCTATTTCCAGAGAGCGCAGTGGACTCAAACAGTGATAGATCTGGACCAAACTTGGCACAAATACTCAATATGCCCAAATATGAACACTGGTGGGGTTGGGATAGGAATTGATTTTGTCATGTGGGAGTTGTAAGTGCTGGGATTTATAGTTCACCTACAATCAATGAGCATTCTCAGCTCCACCAGTGATCGAATTGTGCCAAACTTCCCACACAAAAACCCCATGAGCAGCAGAAAAGACTACACAGAGAAGCCATTGAAATCCACAAGCATGTGGACAATTTCAACAGAAAGGAGGAAACCATGAAAATGAACAAAATCTGGCTACCAATATTAAAAAAACTCTAAAATTACAACAGCAAAACAACAGAGAGAAAACAATCTGGGACATCTAATCACCTCTCAACAAAAGATTGTTCCAGGCACTTCCAGGCTATCAAATGCTAATCAAGGTGGTCAGTTGAAACATTCACCCCCTAACTCCAGCAGACAAGAGTTCTTTGTCCCACCCTGGTCATTCCACAGATATATTTTTTTTGTCATGTCAGGAGTGACTTGAGCAACTGCAAGTCGCTTCTGGTGTGAGAGAATTGGCCATCTGCAAGGACGTTGCCCAGGGGACGCCCGGATGATTTGATGTTTTTATCATCCTTGTGGGAGGCTTCTCTCATGTCCCCACATGAGGAGCTGAAGCTGATAGAGGGAGCTCATCCGCCTCTCCCCAGATTTGAACCTGCAACCTGTCGGTCTTCAGTCCTGCCGGCACAGGGGTTTAACCCACTGCACCACCGGGGGCTCCACAGATATATAAACCCACTTTCCTAGTTCCAAAAGACCTCACAACCTCTGAGGATGCTTACCATAGATGCAGGCGAAACGTCAGGAGAGAATGCCTCTAGACCATGGCCATATAGCCCAAAAAAAAACTACAACAACCCATAAAATGCTGTGTTTCTGATGGCCTTTAGCGACCCGTGTGACATCGCCTGGCGACCCCCCTAGGGGTTGCGAACCCCAGGTTGAGAAACACTGGTGTAAGTGGACAGCCCAGTCATACATATTTTCACTTTTATTATATGTACTAGCTGTCCCCTGCCAGGCGTTGCTGTGGCCCAGTCTGGTGACGTGGAAAATAAAGTAATGAGAAAGTGTTGGTTTCTAATATATGTAATTCCTTTATGTTTGTGAGTAAACAGTATTTCTTGTTGTTTCTTTGTCCGTGTTGATGTGGAGAGTGTCTGGTTTGCCTACTCTGGAATATGCAACATATTATAGTCTTTCTAAGGGTCTCTTTCAAATCTATGATACTATATCTCTGTGTGTGAGAGAGAATCATATCTATCTATATTTATGACTGGATGGCTCTTTGTCAGGAGGGCACTGATTACATTTTCTTGCCCTGGTGAAGAGAGTTGGACTGGATGGCCTTAAGTATTTTCTGTTGGTCATGGGGATTCTGTGTGGGAAGTTTGCCCCATTTCTGTCGTTTGTGGGTTTCAGAATGCTCTTTAATTGTTGTGAACTATAAATCCCAGTAACTACAAATCCCAAATGTCGAGGTCTATTTCCCCCAAACTCCATCTGTGTTCATATTTGGGCATATGGAATTTTGTGTCAAGATTGGTCCAGATCCATCATTGTTTGAGTCCACAGTGCTCTCTGGATGTAGGTGAACTACAACTCCCAAACTCAGGTCAATGCCCACCAAACACTTCTAGTGTTTTCTGTTGGTCATGGAAGTTCTGTATGCCATGTTTGGTTCAATTCCATCATTGGTGGAGTTCAGAATGCTCTTTGATTGTAGGTGAACTATAAATCCCAGCAACTACAACTCCCAAATGTCAAGGTCTATTTCCCTTAAACTCCATCTGTGTTCATATTTGGGCATATGGAATATTTGTTGTGCGTCAAGTTTGGTCCAGATCCATCATTGTTTGAGTCCACAGTGCTCTCTGGATGTAGGTGAACTACAACTCCCAAACTCAAGGTCAATGCCCACCAAACCCTTCCAGTGTGTTCTGTTGGTCATGGAAGTCCTGTATGCCAAGATTGGTTCGATTCCATCATTGGTGGAGTTCAGAATGCTCTTTGATTGTAGGTGAACTATAAATCCCTGCAACTACAACTCCCAAATGTCAAGGTCTATTTCCCTTAAACTCCATCTGTGTTCATATTTGGGCATATGGAATATTCGTGCCAAGTTTGGTCCAGATCCATCATTGTTTGAGTCCACAGTGCTCTCTGGATGTGGGTGAACTATAATTCCCAACTCAAGGTCAATGTCCACCAAACCCTTCCAGTGTTTTCTGTTGGTCAGGGGAGAACTGTGTGCCAAGTTTGGTTCAATTCCATCATTGGTGGGGTTCAGAATGCTCTTTGATTGTAGGTGAACTATAAATCCCAGCAACTACAACTCCCAAATGACAAAATCATTTTTTTGAGTGAAGGACATACATTGGGTTGTTAGGTAACTAATGTTAGGTGTCTTGTGTCCAAATTTGATGTCAATTCTTCCAGTGGTTTTTGAGTTCTGTTAATCCCACAAACGAACATTACATTGTTATGTATATAGAAGTATATATAGAAGAAGATATCTGTGTGTGTATGTGTGTGCGTGGCTGAAATTACATCTCCAAGTGTCCGTGTTGTGACTAACGTGGTGCCCCTCCTTCCCTCCACGCAGCCACGGGGCACATGTCTGACGGGCTCCACAAGAAGCACACGCGGCCCACCTTCACGGGGCACCAGATCTTCGCCTTGGAGAAGACCTTTGAGCAGACCAAATACCTGGCCGGACCGGAGCGGGCGCGGCTGGCCTATTCCCTAGGCATGAGCGAATCCCAGGTGAAGGTGAGTCCCTCCAGACCTATTCGTACTCAAATCTAATGCTCTTCCCTTTTTGGCTAGCTGACCTTGCCCAAAACAGGGTGAGCGCTAGATTTGCAAACGACGGTCATCATAGTGCTGAACCCAAGTGAAAGGGGAAGCTGCTTCAGCTCCTTTTTGAGGAACATGGTCTCTAACCTAATGCTCAGGGCTCAACGCTATGCCGTCCTGGGATGTGTAGTTTGTGAGGCATCAGCATCTTTTTGGTAAGGCTCAAGACCCTCTGAAACTACATAGATCTTTTATTACAGCATTGCAACATTGCTGGATGTTTTGGGGCTCTACCACTTCCTCCTCGTAGAGATGTTCAATGTATTGTCAAAGGCTTTCATGGCCGGAATCACTGGGTTGCTGTAGGTTTTTTCGGGCTATATGGCCATGTCCTAGAGGCATTCTCTCCTGACATTTCGCCTGCATCTATGGCAAATATCCTCAGAGGTAGTGAGGTCTGTTGGAACTAGGAAAATGGGTTTATATATCTGTGGAATGACCAGGGTGGGACAAAGGACTCTTGTCTGCTGGAGCTAGGCCACGGTGGTCCACGCTCTGGTTACATCCCGTATAGACTACTACAACGCTCTCTACGTGGTGTTGCCTCTGAAGACTGCCTGGAAGCTGCAACTACTCCAATGAGCAGCAGCCAGACTACTAACAGGAGCGGGGTACAGGGAGCATACGACTCCTCTGCTGCGTCAGCTCCACTGGCTGCCAATTAGCTTCTGAGCACAATTCAAAGTGCTGGTGCTGACCTATAAATCCCTAAATGACTCCGGCCCAATTTACCCATCCGAACGGATTCTCCCCTATGAACCATCAAGGTTGTTAAGATCTTACAGAGGGGCCCTGCTCTCGATCCCACCATTTTCGCAATCGCGTCTGGTGGGAACGAGGGACAGGGCCTTCTCGGTGGTGGCCCCTCATCTGGAACTCTCTCCCATTGGAGATTAGAACTGCCCCTTCCCTCCTGACCTTTAGAAAGTTGGTGAAAAATTGGCTTTGGAAATTGGCATTTGATGAATGAGGCAATGACTTTTGACCACATGGACGGATGGGGATGAATAGTGATTTTTATGCTAACAACTATACTTTATATAATTATATGATAGTACTTTAATGTGTTTATATTAGTGTATTATTGATGTGGTGTTTTTAAATTATTGTGTATGAACCCCTTGTTGTAAACTGGCCTGAGTCCCTCGTTGGAGGTGAGAAGACTGGTATATAAAAGTTCTAAATAAATAAACACTTGTCTGCTGGAGCTAGGTGTGAATGTTTCAGCTGACCACCTTGATTAGCATTTGATGGCCTGGCAGTGCCTGGGGCAATCTTTTATTGAGAGGTGATTAAAAGTCCCAGATTGTTTCCTCTCTGTTGTTTTGCTGTTGTAATTTTAGAGTTTTTTTTAATACTGGTAGCCAGATTTTGTTCATTTTCATGGTTTCCTCCTTTCTGTTGAAATTGTCCACATGCTTCTTGTGGATTTCAATGGCTTCTCTGTGTAGTCTGACATGGTGGTTGTGAGAGTGGTCCAGCATTTCTGTGTTCTCAAATAATATGTTGTGTCCAGGTTGGTTCATCAGGTGCTCTGCTATGGCTGATTTCTCTGGTTGAAGGAGTCTGCAGTGTCTTTCGTGTTCCTGGATTCTTGTTTGGGCGCTGCGTTTGGTGGTCCTTATGGAGACTTCTTGTCCACAGCTGCATGGTACACGGTAGACTCCTGCAGAAGCGAGAGGATTCCTCTTGTCCACAGCTGAACGGAGCATTGGTTGGATTTTCTTGGTGGGTCTGGAGTTAGTTTGTATGTTGTGTTTCCTCATCAGCTTCCCTCTGCGGTCAGTGGTTCCCTTGATGTATGGCAGGAACA